TAGACATAATCTTTGTAGCAGATTAACACCACAATCACAATACAGTACAACAGATTAACATTACCTTGATCAAGAACTTTTTCACTTCGTTTTCACTATTGTTTATTGTAATGACTTTTCCAATACTATTATTTGTTATTTTGGAATACAAAGAACTTATGACTTATGACTCTTATGAGATTACATAATAAATAACCCGCTATAGACACAGGTTTTCGTTTGTGAAATTTGTGTCAAACCATCGAGTTAATGTGACCTGTACATACATGTACAGATTACTATTCCCGATTATTTTATTTTTAGTTATCTGGTAATTCCAGGCAGAAGAGAAGCCCTGAATGCCTGTACCTTGCTCTACTGTAGGTGTCAATGACTCCCCGCTGCCTACTACTACAACGCACACGTGTGATACGATCGATACATCGACTATCGACACTCAATCTGGGTAATATATTAGTCCAAGTGGTCCAATTTGACTTGTCATTCACAAATTAAAAACCATTTAAGTACTTTTCCGAACGTTTAAAACAAACAATTGATTATGAATTTACAGCGGATTGCGATCCGTTCGAGAAAGACCTATGTAACAAACATTATATAACGATTGTTTAAAAATGATGTAATGAAAACAAGTGTAAAAATAATTCTTATTGACTTTTGATATCCTAAATATTTCTCAACCTTTATTTGCCGATCAACATTAAATTACGCAACCAACTGATTTAATACTAGTGAACCGTAGATTCTCAGAAGAAGTTTACATGATTCTGAAGATAGTATCTATCTATATAGGCCAGTAAAATTAGATAAAAATAATACATTTTGGGGAATTAATTCCCAGCAAGCTGGAAATCGTTTTAATATCTTCATTTGGTCCCAAATAAGTGTAATCTGAGTTTGCACCGTCCTATGAGGTGAGCTTACATTATGGCAGCCTAAAATAAATTAAATTTTAGCACTTTTTTCAGTTTTTTCCGAGTAGCTCAAAAACAGTGTATCGGACGCAAACCACACCCTTTTAATATAAAAGAAGATTAAATTCTGCGTAAAATGAGTATATAAATATCCTAATTCGGTTAAGTAGTATAGCCAAAATGTTAAGATTTAAATTATAAATTTTCGTTTCATTGAATTTTACATTTTGCGACTTTCCATAACCCCATACTATCTTTGAAAGAAACACACTCGTGACTATTTCCTTCTTCATACGAAGTAAGAGTGGGGAAAACAGCTGATCAAGTATTCCCAGCTGTTTGCAATTGTATAGTACAACAATATCATTGCTAAGTGGTCGTCATCAGTTACTTTGGAAATGATGTTGTGTATACGACGTCGTTTAAAAATAATTGAGGGCATTTACCAATATTCGTATTCGTTCAAGCAAGTGCTATGACGTAGTGATTTGTTATCTATCACATTTAGCCCTGGAAAGTCGACACCCCATCATACCACTGACCCCCATAAGAAAACAATCTATAGAATGAAAGTTGTAGAGTATAATGTATTAATAGTCAAAGGTATAATATAACACGTTAAAAAGGTATTTCAATTGAAAATTTCACTCATTTTAAAAGACTTAATTCTGCATAAACCTTAAAATCGGGTTCCGTGAACTGTCCTCTTGGCTGCACTTCCTCCGTAAATGTGAGGATATATCTCAAGCTGCGGTGGATTGTCAGAGACTGTCCTCACCTGGTTCTCATTCTACGGTGTTCGGTATTTGGGATACACCCTCATCTTCAAACAGCTGAATTTGAGCATGACTCACCATGGCAGCTAAGGCAAATTATTGAGCATTTCATATCTACTTTACGGCAGCTGCACTTTCCTGTACACCCTTTTGCACATCTGCATGACACTGTATTGAGGATTTAAGTTGGAACTGGATTCTTTGTGTTTATGGTTGGAGTAAACCATGTTCCGTCATCCTCCAACCCCAGTTGAGTGGATCCACTGGTCTATCATACCAGCTTTGTATTTGGTGGTAGACTCGTAGAAAGTGTTGGGCGGCGGCTGCATTTGTTAGTGGTAGAGAATCTATATATTGAAAGTTAACTTTGAAATGGATTTTGAGAACATTTCATAACGGATTTGGTCCAGTGAAGTATTATTGGCTTTAGATGAACAAACAGTTGACCTGCTAAAATTAGGATCTCAGGATGAGCATCTCCATCTGTATGGTGGAAAACCTTTACAGCCCCCTGCAACGTGTTCTTCTCAAAGAGTTTAATAATCTTCAAGTTCCCTTGGCGATAGAATGCAGATGGTATTTCACCCACTGATTGCATATAGGAACAGAAGGTTCTCTTTGACAGGAGAAGAGAAGTTGAAATGCCTGGGAGAGTAGAACATGTTCTAAGAGGTCCTCTTTCCAGATTTCCTGAGGTAAAGGTTTGAGGAATTTGGTGCTTTGGTGGTTAATAGGACCAATAGATCAGTGTCATATCCAATTATTATGGCTTTCGCAAAGTTCTAAGCCATTTGAATGGCAGTGTTCGCTATGAGAATATCAGTATTTTCAGAGCTTGTGTGACTTCAAACCCCAATTTCACACTCAGCATGGATATAAGACGACCTTTGTTGTTGTAGTTAAGAGAGAAATTGATCTTTCAGCATGGTTGCAGTCAACGTTTTTATGAAAATTACGTTTGCCAAAGATTACTTGCTTATTATTATTCCTTGTTCTTTAACAGAAGTCGAGGCGTCAATATGTAACGGTCCCAGATAAAATACTTAGGATCGTTCATGTCTGAACATGTTAAACACACTTAATATCATGATATTATGAAATCATAAAGATAAACGATAACCACGTCATAACACTTGTTTGAACGAATACAAATATCGGTAAATGCCCTCAATTATTTTTAAACAACGTCGTATACACAACATCATTTCCAAAGTAACTGATGACAACCCCTTAGCAATGATATTGTTGTACTATACAATTGCAAACAGCTGGGAATACTTGATCAGCTGTTTTCCCCACTCTTACTTTGTATGAAGAAGGAAATAGTCACGAGTGTGTTACTTTCAAAGATAGTATGGGGTTCTGGAAAGTCGCAAAATGTAAAATTCAATGAAACGAAAAAATTATAATTTAAAACTTAACATTTTGGCTATACTACTTAACCGAATTAGGATATTTATATACTCATTTTACGCAGAATTTAATCTTCTTTGATATTAAAAGGGTGTGGTTTGTGTCCGATACAATGTTTTTGAGCTAATCGGAAAAAAAATGAAAAAAGTGCTAAAATTTAATTTATTTTAAGCTGCCATAATGTAAGCTCACCTCATATGACGGTGCAAACTCAGATTACACTTATTTGGGACCAAATGAAGGTATTAAAACGATTTCCAGCTTGCTGGGAATTAATTCCTCGAAAATTTCTTATTTGACTGGCCTAATATATTAATAGGCAAGCATGTTTCTTTAAAACCTTTTTTCTCAGCTCGTGTGCATCGTAGGTAAAATCTACGCATACCTTTAGAAAGCTATTTTCCTCTAGGTGTGCAGAATCCCTTTATAAATTTAAATAGGCTCAAAGATAAGCACGAAAAATGAGTTTAAAAATTTGAAAAAATTAACATGGATCTTATGCGTTGCCATGGTGACGAAATAACAACGAAATATAAACAGAAAATCAAAACAAATGGAAGAAACTCCAATCACATGTTTTATTTACAGTGTGGGGTGAAAATAGATAAGTGAGTACAGTACATTAGATATTTTTGGTCGAGTTTCGACCTCTCGTGTAGAATAAATAGTTCAACATGAAATTAAAATTTGACAATCGTTTGGAACACATATATTTTATATTAAATGCATACATCAGATTGACTATGATATGTGCCTATATAAATACTGTAACATGGGCTTCACTCATCACACTGTGTATATTAATTTATTATCTAGCATTGTTAGACATCATGCATAGAATCGAATTGAAGGTTTGTCCGATGGTAAATAAGTTACCAATTTAAATAATATTATTTTGGTTGTGCTTTTATGTGATACTAAAGGTGTAAGGCTTTTTGTGCTAGGAGCATATTAACTGGGGCTTTACGAAAAGTTTGCTAATACATAAATTTAAATACAGTATATTCGAATGAAAAGTATTATAAACCATTATTGAGCACTTGTAATTTTTACTGGTTAAAATATAGATTTAAATCAAACCTTTTAAACTCTCATAACACTAAAACTTACAGACTGATTTCGTGGACTCAGTAGGGAGTGTTTTGTTTTTCGCTTGATCGGGGTTTTTGTGGTTTCTAAACGTGGTGTTCATTCTGTTCACTGTTTAGTTAGAAACATGATCACAGTATACTGTAGGCTATCAGTATCAGTAAATAATACAAGGTAGAGTTAGTAGACAAACTGGGATTTGAACTACTCTTGGAATGCAAAAAGTTAAATATTCGCGAGCAGAAAAAATACAGACCTGTCTTGGAACAAGTTTTAAATCCAGCCTCCTTGGACGTAGACCACTGACCGAAAGTTCAAAATACTGAACGAAATAGACATCATCATCATTATCACATGCTGGGAAGTATCTATACAATTTATTATTAATTAATACTTCCCAGCACGTGATGATCGAATATGTTGTCACTAGCTCCTTCCCAGTTAAATCGAACTTGTAGTAAATTCACTAAGCAAGCGATATTATTGTAGTTTTGTTTTAAATACTTAATCTTTTGAACAGAACTTACGTTTGCAAAACATGGAATTGCATTGTAAACCAACAAGGATTCTTTCCAAGACCCAGAAGTTTCTACAGTGGGCCTACTGACGTCACCTATGACGTATTCTACTCCACCCAAGTCTTGATACCGTACATAAACAACTAAGATAACCTCAAAGTAACAGCTGAAGATAAGGCTTGAAAACATATGTTTTTAAGAAAATATTTTCCCAAAGTACCAGATAGCAGTATTATATAAAGCGTGTCCATTAAATGAACAGGAGTTTGGTAAGTTTCCGTCAGAGAGAGCACTCTATGAACAAACGAGTTTTATCTTTCCTTTATTTTATTAAGTTCTTCATGCTTGTTTGATAAGATTTAGTTGTTTGTATCTTCTGCAGACCGTTGCACATTCTTCAGGGGAACACCGACAACTTCAGTCCCAGCAAACGTCAAAGAAACTTTTTGTAAGTACCTAGATGTATTATCTGTTTATTTAATAGTTGTGTATCTTCCTTCGGTTGGTTTTTTATAAAATAATAATATCGGAACCAAGTGAATAAACTTGATAGGAAAATAAATTGGACATATGGTTGATTAAGAACTAGTCTTATATTAGTTGTTGTATTTTATCGTGAAAATGACTGTTGATGCATTTTTATTGCACATAACATAGTTTTTTTTATGAACTTGGTTTGAAAAGTTGTGTTAAGTATTCAATTCAGTTCTAATTTAAAGAGTTTCAAATAAAATCAAACAAATCCCTTTAATTTTTCGCATTGTTTTTTTCTTCTTAAAAAAAAATAGTTAACTAACCACACAGACTATCTATAGGCCTACGATTCATTATTTTACATCATGGTCCAATACAACAATTTAACCGTCTGATAAATCTTAAAAGTACTATGGTTAACATCTTTGACTATTAATACAACAACTTCTGTATCCAATAGTAAATGATAACATACTATGTTGGTAGATTTCTCATCCTTATGTATCAGCTGAAGACGATTTTATTGGTTCCTTCAGGTGCACTGCAGGGGTGGTGTTTTGTTTACAATTTGTTTCTTGTTATTTCAGTCATTTAAACCCTTGTTTAGCCAGATAAAACTATCTAATCATAAACAATATCTCTTCCCCTATTTATATAACCAAACAGTTAAGCACAAACCATGGAATTAACCCTAAATACTGTAACTGTAGAAACAAAATTTCGCCGACACTAGCGATCAGTAACTCATAACTCATTTATTGAACCAAAATAACAGATACAAAATTTGCATTGGTCATGTCAAATAATCTCAGTGCGTCTCAGTGTCACCGACATTAACTGAGACGCGAAAAACGAGCTTCAAAATTTACAATGGGATTACAAGTGTTGGTTAGTACTTTGTTGGTATCAGGTCTATTCATGAGTACGATATTAAACTTGAAACGGTCTCGAAAATATTATACTGTACAATTTAACTTTAAAAAATACTTATTCTCAAAAACCGCATAAAAGACACGCAATTGGGGAAATAAAAACAAACGTATAAAATACTAGCAGAGTACCCGTCCTTCGTACGGGGTTGGCGTAGCAGACAATGGCTATATGGGCTGATCTGTTTTTTTTTTATCCTCAATGTACATAATCTTAAAACAAATACATTTGACACATGCTTTTGATTTTAAATTTTAATTAAGCCCTAAACTCAGTCAGTAATAAAAAGTAGTTACGTAATAAAGTTGATAACAAAGTTAAATTTTACTCAGCTGATGATAACGTTTACGATAAACAAATTTACTCTTATCACTATTGGACAAATGATGATGAACTATGCTGACGATGATAACATTGGCATTGACCCACTGTATGTTGTATTGTTGATATGGATATTACTTTCAAGGACATACATTACTTTATTCATCTTTTTATGTCTATTTCAGTATATTTTTGATAAATTTATTTGTTATAGTCATGGGATTGACGTTGGATACAAATTGATATTTTATTTGTAAAGTTTATTCAAACATCAATTTTAAATAGTGTGAATATAGACTTTTCATCCTGTTTAAAATAGGAATCCTTTTATTTATGTTTTGGAGACGTTTAAGTGACTTGGTATCGATTTAGGTAGGTACTTTCCTGTTAAAGGGAACATTCATTATTATCGATGATTTTTAATCCATACATCGATATTTTTGTTTCCCTTTACAACCCAATACAAATTGACAACTGATCTTGTTTAGGCTAAAATCTAGTCTATTATATCGATTAAAACTGTTCTAAGCTAACCTAACATAACCAACCAAACTTGCTGTACCGTACCATTTTAAAAATTCCGTTTGATTACAGAAAAGGTATATGGGGAAGATTAAACGGAATTTTTTAATGTTAAGAGTTTGGTTGGTTTTGTTAGGTTGATTTGGAACAGTTTCATTTCAATATTTTTTTTTATACTGAACTATATTTATTTATCGTAGTTGTCAGCTGATAGATAGGTTTCAATTCGTTAATATCGATATATCGATTGAAAATCATCGATAATAATGAATGTTTCCTTTAACAGGAAAGTACCGTTTTGGTATCTCATTTTAGGATAGGTTTTATCATTTTTTTAAATCTGAGATTATAAACCATAGAACAAGCCACGGCTTATAAATTGTTTAGCATTGTAGCAAATAAAAGTTTTAAAACTGTTTATATAACAATATATTATGTTTATTTAATCTATTACTTAATTTTCGTTATATCTTAATCTTCATTGCATAAAGTAATGCATCGGATGTAATATTTATTAACCTAAATTAGCCCCCCGATTCCGTTGTGTATGTTGGTTTTTTAAATCCGTGCAAAAACACTTATTTTTAGAAAACAGGTGATTTTTCCCCACACAATTAAAAATCACATCCAACCCGAATCTCCGTAAAATTGAGTTTAATATAAACCCAATTATATAACAACAATAAGTGGTTACGCAACAATGACAAAATCTGATCCAATTGTTGTAGTGGATCCTGATTGGTCGCCTGGCGCGGGAGAGGGGAGAACTATAAGTAACCATGGCAACGGCGGTGTACCACTCAACAACATTTGGTCAGTGTAGTCGCAAAATGAAGGGGACGACCGAGGACACGATGGCTCCGGTGAAGCTGCGACCTCTGAGGACTCCTTCGGGGACGACCATAGCAGCTGATCTAGCCTCTGCATCCAACCACGAGAACCCGTGAGTCAGGTTACACATTCATTGTTTACGTAAATGATAACAATATAGTTCAAATGGGCATTGTATCCAATGGTTGGTGTTACTTTCGTACCTATTAAGCTAAGTAACAAAGTGTGTGTTAAGTAACATTTCTATTACTTTTAAATTCATACTGCACATCAGTTATCTAAGGCTAAGTCCTTTAAAGTGCGGTTTTTTTATTAGGAATCCCATAAAAGATAACGTGTGAAATATACCAACACAGATAAATGTGGTAGTTAATATAATTTTTGAAACTCCAAACCAACAAATTATTTGTTTAAAAAGTAAATATAAACTGTGGTACGGATCGGTGTTACCGTACGTGTTCAGCAAAACAATCATAAAATTATCAATTAATTTAACATTATCAGTGGTAAAAATATGGAAATAAAATGCTAAATCTTAAGCAAAATAGGGTTTTAAATTAGTTTTAGAGAAACTATACCATTTTAAACTGTTTACGAGAAATACCGTACCACAAAAGTGGTGAAACCTTTCCTATCTCCTCACAAGCCCATAACTGTGTCATTGATTGTTATCATTACAGCGAACAGTTGTTTTCTTATCACTTCGATTTGTTTTACCACTGACTCAAAACACACCACTCAGTTTACATACAACTTTTACTTGCGAAGTAATTACTCATTTTTACCTTAAATTTTAAGTAAATTTCGTTCAAAATTGTTTACAAAGAACGTTTGACATGGTTAGTCTTTGATTACAGTTACAGATTGGTAAAATAAAGATTAAAATTACAAAATTAAATGGGTGATTCTCAATTATATAATTGAGGTCATTGTGCTACTGGTCAAGCCCGATGATAAATGAAGATTATGTAACACATTCTACCTTTAGCGCCCGGGATACGTTGAGTACAAAAGTTGTTATATAATCAAAAGGCATACACGTGTGAACATAATAATAGTAGTCACTATAAACACTTGATTTTCCCTGCGTTGAAATGTGAATTTTGCTCTCAGTTTCTTGAACATCTCAAATGTTGACGAACTTATCGTCACCTAGCGACTGTATAGTGCAATGTGCCAGTCTGAGTTAGTAAAATCCAAATACGTCAAGTAGGATTTGGCATTGTAAGTTTTACAAGTCCATTAAATACTAGATTTGTTTACATCAAAAATACAAAAATTTAAAACTGTTCAAAACTGAAACTCCGATATATATATTACCCAATTGAATATAATTGGCTACACGTATAATTGACTACTCACATTATAAAGTGAGGAAATAGCTGCGTTTTGCCCTTTGACCTATTGTTCGTCCTGTCAATGGTCAATAGCAATTGCCTGCTCTCGGACGCTCATAGACTCAAGGTCACTTGGCTATCATCAGCCTCAACTATGTCGAATACAGCCGCGTACCTGATGACGGCATTAGATAACAGACGCCGAAAAGTTGTCAAACTACTGTAGTTTCCTTAGATCTGCCATGGTAAAACTCGCAATGGCAATGAGTTTGATGAACTATTTGTTTATATCCTGTTAAAAATACAAACTCTTGAGAATGGTCTACATGAACGACCTACCTTTTGTAAACGCCAATGAAGAGTAATTATTGCTTTGGGTTTGAAAATTTAGATCGATACGTCTTGACATTTACCTTGATAAAAGCGATGTTGCTCAAATATTACCAGTAATGTGCAAACTATTAAAAACCACGCGAATGTCTGTATTTCAATTATTCAAACATTTGCAGTCATTATGCAGACAAATTATAATACTAAAAATCCTATCGCATCTGTCAAATACTAATTATATTGCATATTAATAATGGCTGGCTTGCCATAAAATGGGCATTGCAGTTTTCGTAGCCTCTCTACTACCGTTAGTTGACAGGAATAACTTACATCAAACTTATAGTCTAGAAACAAACTGGGCTAACTTATGTGTGTGTTAACATCACTGTTTATGGTAACTCGTCTGACCCATATTAACTGAAGTACTTGTGAGCAATTAGCATAAATTGAGATAGTAAATTACTCAGGCACAATCGAGGCTAACTGCTGTATACCAATGAACCTAGGAAGAAATATATACCAACGTGAAAGTTGAAGAGTAGGCAGTACATTTTGCATCTAAGGAAAGGGGCATGGCCTAAGAAATAGGACAATATTTACAATATTAATAGCAGAACCGATAGCTAAGACTTTTTCTGCTAATTGTTTTGCCATTTAACTTAGGCCTAGATTTTTTTTATTTGCCTAACTTACTTTGATTTGTTGTTTTAATAAAACTTTTTGTAGGCTTAGTTAATGTAAAAAAATGTAAACTAATTCTAGATTTTGAGTTTTTTTTACATCAGGCCTGATTAGGAACCATAACCACAGAGGCTCATCCAATCGGGTATTTAAAAAATAGTAGGACTACAAAACTGGTACTTCAGAAATATTTATATTTTACGGAATTCTAAATTTACTACAAAAGGTTCAGCTTTTAAAACGACTAACAAAGCCTTTAAAAGATTGTAAAAAACATTGTCTAGATAGGCTAATATCACTTAGCTAGTTTATTGATACCTACATTTTATTCTCGATTTATGAAACTGCAGCCGAAGTTGAACCTAAAAAAACTAAGCTTAGGATGGCCTATGTTTTATAAAACGTCGCGTCATAGCGAAAGAGCTTCCTGCAGCTATTATGAAACGAACTTCAATAACTTAGGCCTATTCTTTCTTTATTGTCTTAGTTTTCTTTTGCTTTCTAAGTACCGATTGGTGGTTTGCTTCTTCGACCTCGAAATATGGACACAATCCTAAATTTACCATTCGTTTAGTCATCGATTTCTTCTTCTGCAACAATTTCTTAGTTACACTTACTTCCACAGACATTTTCAAATGACGATTCTTCACTTTTCGGTTATGCTTGACGGCGAGTTCTGTTCTTTTTGCGAGTGTTTGTTGGTTATCATGAGCTTCTTTAGCCCTTTGGAACAGTCGAGGTCTCTGCTCATTGTGTGGGATACACTTGGCTTTCAGTAACCGATTCATCATCAAATAGTTATTCATTGTGTCAGCTGCAATGCGAGCAATCTCTGGATGATAGTACTCAATAAATGCATATCCCTTGGCTCTCCCAGTTTTGCTTCTAGGGACATTTACACCAGTCACTTTCCCAAACTGGCTGAAGTAGGCTTTGATTTGTTCTTCGTAGAATCCATGTGGAACGTGGCAGATATATACAACACCTTTCGGGTATGTTTTGGGTTTCTTAGATCCTCTCTTTCCTCTATGTTTCACCTTTGGTTGCTTTTTCACTTCATCTTTGACGTTTCCGTTATTGTCAAGTGAACAACTTAGCTGATTTGATTTTGTTGACGAACGTTGTATCTTTAACATTGTAAATTGTAACCTGTAAAAGTAAGGATCGTTCAAATGAATTGACACATAAGACAATAACAAACAATTTAACAAAATGTAAACAATCGTGCCAAAACAATAATAAATAACGGTCAGGTCGACTTCCAGCTGATTAGTTTAAATACAGACAAATAGAAATAATTAGGCATCGAGTAAGATTGTACTTACTTGTTGAATATATAATGTACTAGGTGTGCAAATAAGTTGTCTGCTTGTAATATTGAGAACAAGCATATCAATCCAATACTTTTGAGAATTAACAACGGGCTTTTGCTTTCGATTGTCCCCCATGGGCTTTTGGGTTCACATAAATAGGTAGGATTTCTACTTGCGGAATACAAATTCAATGCTAAATCTGTTCGCGTAGGGAGATGGTACTTAATTATAGGAGGGTTAACATTAATGTTAGGTACAAGCAACATTAATGCTAATTTAACATTAATTAATATTAATGCACTGAGGAAGTACTTACACGACTTTGGGTAAAGCGTTTAAAATTCATAGGCTACTTTTGTTGTGGATGTGCCAGGAATCGAACCTGAGGGCTGATGATCATTTTGCACCAAAATCTGAGACCACTAGCAACACACACCTATAATATACGTTTGAATGTTCCAGATACACATATGAGCTGGTGGAGAGCATAGCAAAGTATTTGCTAGACAGAGTTCCTGAGTCAGTCAGGCCTACCATTGGAATCATTTGTGGCTCTGGAATGGGTAAGAGGATTTTTTTTCATGTGGGTATAACTGAATATCATTTGATTCATTTTCAGGCGAAGTTGTGAGCAGTGTTGCCACTTTTAGGGTAATTACCATTTTTTAGGGTAATTTACTGGTCTTAGGGTAAAGTTTAGGGTAATGGTAGATTTAGGGTAATTTTAGGGTAAAACTAAAAGTTAGCATAACAATGGAAATTTTACTAAAAAAATGAAAAAAACTTCAAAATTTGGCAAAAAACGTTCATAAAATACTATGGCCAAACCATCATATTCGATTCAAATCGGTTTAAATCGATTGCTATGATGATTTTTTTATAATAAGTTATCCTAATTTAGGTTATCCTAATTATAAAAAATTGAAATTCATTCTATTCGATTCTATAACACGTTATAGGCCTAATAAAACATGAAATATTATTCATTACTGGGTTTGATATTTAATTATGTGGCTGAATTGAATTAAACTGGATTATTTTACAAATTGTGTCAAGAAATTACTACAGTAAAGCTTTGGTGGTACCGTACTGTATTTTAAAGATATGATTGTCCAAAAACAGTAGTTATGGGTCGATACAGTAAAAAATACGATAGTTCTTGATTCGATATTTTTCGTTATACGATAGTCGATAGAGCTGATCAATATCAACATTTTTTTGTTCTTCTTTCGGGGCCCGATTTCATAATAAAGTACAAACTAATATTATTAGTAAATCAGCTGATCGCCCAATGCAAATCTAATGGAAATTACAAGTTACAAGTTGTAACTTGTAGTTTATTATGAAATGGGCCCCGGGTGGTTTTTTAGAATTGAGTATAATTTTACGTAAATTGATTGATATTGGAACTTCATTTAGTATAATTAACCACCTTATGTAGGATTTATATGATTTTAACAATGTTTTATAGCATTAAACGCAAATATTAACATTTAGGGTAATTTTTAGGGTAACTCAAAGTAGATTTAGGGTAATTTAGGGTAATTTTAGCCCGCCTTTAGGGTAAAATCGCAGCAACGCGGTGGCAACACTGGTTGTGAGTGATTCTCAAAATCGATGGTGAAATATCCCAAACACTCTTGTTGATCAGATGTGGCTCCAACCTGACTTATAAAAACTAGCCTTTAAAAAAAGTTTTTCCTTTAAAATATAATTGTCAGATAATTTTTTGTACCTTTTACAATCATAAAAATATACTTTGTGATAATAAACCATTCATTTATCTAGAATGTCATGCTGTCATTTTTATTTTGTTCTTGCAACTTCTAATTCTCCACTCTTGCAAGTAAAAAATATTCCTGCACCATTTAGTTGGTAGACTGGTATTTCATTCTGTTGGTGGCTTAATATCCTACTAGAACTGGTAACAGCTTTAACAAGTGAATAGGACACACTGTCTACTTATCTAGTTATTTCCAAGCTCCAAGTAATACTTTGGTTGATTTAACTATGTCCAATTTTAACTATGAAATAAAGGGGCTACAGCTTTAACATGGGATATTCATTTCTTTCCTATAATAGTCAAAGATATCACTTTGCGTAAGGCCAATCCTACCATCATCAAGGAAGGACACCAAATATTGTTAGTAGATCTCCTCGGTGTTTCAGGACCTCTGGCGGACATGTTGAGTGACAAAGTGGCGTTCCCGTATGAGACCATCCCGCATTTCCCTCAGAGCACCGTGCCGGGGCATGCTGGGAGGCTAGTGTTCGGCAAACTCAATGGTATACCCATCATGTGCATGCAGGGCCGCTTCCACTACTATGAGGGTTACCCTCTGTCCAAGGTAAATGATTACATTATATTTTGAAATCCATTCAGGTAGATTGTAAGATTTGCTAATTAAATCTTGTACTGTGTTGTTAGGAAGTTTCATTGGTGGTAGCATTGTCTGATAATAGTTGTACTGCACAGAATTATATGGAATCAGTAGCAGTGTGCGATTTAAGTGCACCAGATAGATAACTGCAGCTGATACATCCACAAGGATGATGAGTGTTAAGTTATTGTTCTTGTAAAGGGTAAAGTTGACTGGGTAGCCGAATAATTATTATAGTGTTCACCCTCAAATCCAAGGTTGATTTTGAGCAGGATCAATTCCTATGACCACATGGTCCATAATGGGCTCTACCAATTTGTAATATTTTCCATCAGAACAACAAAGTTTGATTTTAGATAGTAAACAAGAACGGGGGCTGGAACATCTAAAACCTTTCCTTTAAAAAAGGTAAAAAATGCATTTGGTGCACATTCCAGTCCCGTGTTTAAAAGGCTGTCCAGTTTTGAAAACAATTTTTTTTGTTGAATCAGCCAAGGTGCTGATGTAAATTACTGATTTATATCGATCATGCCAACTTTTTAACCAAGTAAAAAAGATAGGCGAAGTTATCATTTTTAAGCTATAGTATCTTTTAGATTGTTACTATTAGCATAGACAAACTATATGCTATTAGTATTTTGGTTTACAATCTGTATAATGAATATCGAGGTAGTTTTAACTTAATTCAGCCACATTCAAAATGAACAATCAGTTTAACAAGTCCCCTACCACGTGACTCACTCATACAAGGCTCAAGCCATGTCACAAAAAGAACAACGAATGATGGATGTGCAGCAAAAACCTCTTCTTGCTCCATATTTTTTTATGGAATTGAAACAGCCGTCTACTCTAGTGGCATCAAGTTGTAATTTAAAACATTTCATTTCTACCATTTAGTAATTATTAAAATGGTGAGATTTTGCCCTGCTTGCTCTAAGCTAAACAATTGTGTAATGTGTAGTGCTCGATGCCAGTTCGAGTGATGAAGCTTGTGGGCGTAACTCACCTGGTGGTGACCAACGCGGCCGGAGGTCTCAACCCAGAGTACGAAGCTGGGGACATCATGATCATGAAGGATCACGTCAACTTCATGGGGTTTGCCGGCAACAATCCTCTGCAGGGCATCAATGATGAGAGGTAGGAAAAGCTAACATAGACATACAAATTCTAAAATAGACTTGATAATTAAAATAACTAGAAAATACTTTTTTTATTTGTGTGATTTGGGGGATTCTTTTTTTTTGGAGATCAAAAACTTAAAGGAGTCAATTGAAAATGATACTGGTTAGAGAGATGTCTTTATCAATAAACAGAACTAGACATTTCACTCCCATATAATTGTTAAAAAGATCCTGCTAAAGATTAATTCTGGAGTTTATGCTCTATCAAAAATGTCTTTTTATTGCCATATAAACACTTTAAAGAATATATATTTTGCTCATGTACATTCCCATATCCAATTTGGCATAGCATTATACGGTTCAACAAAACAAAGAAATATGGACTCTATTTTAAAACAGCAAAAAAAGCTATCAGGATAATGCTCAAGCTAAAGGGGGATGATTCAGCCAAACAACACTTTACACATCTAAAAATTTTTACGGTTTATGGACAATATATATATGAAGTTATTCTTATTGCTAGAAAACAAGATTTGAGTGAAAAACCGATGACAAGTCACAACTATTAATCTTAGGGAAAAAAGTGGGGTTGTTGAACCTCATAGGCTCAAGTTTTATGAAAAAAGCCGTCCAATGCAGGCCAAAGATTTTTAAAATTTATCCCAAAAAATATAAAAAAGAAACAGATTTTAATAAGTTTACAAAATTACTCAAAGATTATATATTAAATTTAGCTATTTATTCTATGGAAGAGTTCTCCACCTCCCTGGCATAGGTAGCATTAAGTTATTTTAATTTTGTATTTCATTCTTAACTAACTAATGACTTATTATTTTACTTGTTAATATTTACTAATATCATTGTAATTGTGTTTCTTGTTATTGACGCTATTCATTGTACCACCTTTGTACAACAAATATGAATAAAGAATACATATATTAAATATATGAATACATATATATAATAAATGAATACATATATTAAAGTTGTAGCGAGTTTAAGAATCAAAATAAATATAGTTAAATTGTGAAGCAAATTTCCTTTCGGCGAAACTCGGATAGTAACTTAGGAAATTACGCCACCTTACGAAGTCCCAGGAATCGTACGAGTCGGGTTGGGGGGATTTTCCCAGGAGTTGATAGTGATTAGGATGGCCTCAAATTTGATAGCCTCGGCAACAAAAAATCGCCTCGGCGGTACAACTATGCAACTCTAAGTGGGCAATTTATTATAACATAGCGATTTTTATATCATATATCAACTATCACTGATATACAAATTAACGGAGTAAATAGAATTTTTAATTGTAGTGCGAGTGCCTCATTCAACTATGCCCTTTTTGAATACAAAAATTGGTTATATTGTCCATATGGATGAAGAGTCTAATGTACTTACTACTTATATGTATATTCAAAGTCAAAAAATGCATCTAGCTCTCGTGGAGCAACCAGTGGCTTTTTATTAACATTTCATTAAGCCAACCATACAAGGTAGAGATACATTAATTTTAATACTCTGTATTCAAATATACTTTAAAATGGCAGGATACAATCTTTCAATGATAATTTTTAATAGTAGGCATAATTTCACTAAGACTGTGATTTTCAAATTGACCCCCTCAGAGACACTGCACAGATTAGTTCCTACACTGTGCCATGTTTAGTTCAGTGTAGTTATAAATCATTTAGTCTTATAGATGATCGTTTAACAAAATACAACATTTACTTGTAATTTCTTCTAATAACCTGCTCACTTGATTGATAAAATAAGGAGAACTAGAAACATTTTAAACTGAAAAACTATAGCATTGAAAAGATGTAAGGTTCTGTCCTTTTTATAATTTTAGTACAGTTAAACCTCGTTAGTACAAACCTCGGTAAAACGAATTCAATGACAAATTTGTTAAAATCTTCTTGAAACTTTCATAAAGGTCAATGCTAAAAACACCTCTATACAACTTAGTTATTAGGTTGAAAACCTCCATATAAGACGAATTTGTTTGTGACATGGGCTACGACTGATTAACCTCTATACTTAACGAATATTCTTAGCACAAAACCTCTATGACAAATGAGAAACTCTATAAAACAAATTTCTCATGGTCTTAACCTCCATAGTACGTAGGTAGTTTTAAAAACAAACAGAAGCTTGTCTCAACATGAAACCCCTACCCTCTCCTTCCTCAGTCATTATCTCAGAGCCATAAGAAATTTCTATAAGACGAATAATGGCAGAATTAAACCTCGATAAACGAACCTCCTTTATTAAAAAATACCTCGATAGTAGATATCTTTCCCCTACCCCTTGAAATTCGTCTTATAGAGGTTCGACTGTAGCCATTTTTTGACACCTGAACCAACAGCCAATAAGCCTACTTAATAATTGAATCAAAGATTAAATCAAAATATCTTGTTTGTGGGGGAATTAGCTAATCAACACTGATTTTGATTTGGAACAATCACTTTAAAGGGGAGATTTTTATTTGATGACCACTTTTTCAGGTTTGGGCCTCGTTTTCCAGCCATGAACCGAGCGTATAATGCCAAGTTGTTATCTGTGGCTAAGGAGGTGGCTAAAGAGCTTAACATGGAGAAGATAACAAAGGAAGGAGTTTACGCTCAACTAGGAGGTCCTAACTTTGAGACAATCGCAGAGCTGCGTATGTTACGTACGTGTGGTGTGGATGCCGTTGGTGAGTATTTAAAAAAAACATTTATTGTCATTATATTAGCTATTTGTAAATTAAAGGGACACAGTAGAACCTTGATTAACTTTCACCCTTTTAACCGGCACTCTATTATCCGTCAGCGCTTCAGTAATGAGATTATTTATAAATGTGATTTTATTTCACTGTACCAATATTGAACAAGTATAACACAAACAATATAATAGTTATGTATTACTCTTGTATGTACACCGTAAGTGATTTTGTCACTGGGCTCAAAAGGTTGACGTTTGATAGTAACAAGACCAGGGTTTGGACAATTTTTTTATAAAAAATTTAAAAGTGCCAAAGACTTGAATACACATAGTAAAAAATATACCTACACCAGAAACAGAAGTGACAGCAAAAAACATTTTTGGTGCTCAATACATTCGTTTATTACAATACTGGTCACAACAGTCAAAAGTTTAGTAACCAATCAATGATAGAATGTACGCAGTACTCCGTTGAACGATATAATGTCTTACAATCCCACATTACTGGATAACTAATTGTTTAACAGGTATGAGCACGGTGGCTGAGGTGTTGACTGCTCATCACTGTGGCATGTACATCTTCGCCTTCAGTCTCATCACCAACATGTGTATCATGGACTACGACAGTCTGGAGGAGGCCAACCACACGGAGGTCATACAGATCGGAAAACTACGAGAACCTCTGCTCAAGAAGTTTGTAGCTCGGATGGTATCCAGGCTTCCAGAAATCCAGAAAACTCAGCAAATCGCGAATGCTCAGGAGGCGTGATTCTCACACATAACGCCACAAGCCTGAAAAGTATAAGGTTCCAATCTATCTTAAGGATTGTGTCCACAAGTGTATAGGCAATTACTTTGCTGATCAAGTTTGTGTTGCGGAACACTTGAACAAATTTTCCACCACATTTTCCATCTAGTATTGTAGTTTTAAGAACATCATTCTCAGAGTGCTCAAGCTGATATCTACTCAGTAGCAAGAGAACAGATATCCATTTTTATATGTTCCTGAGCGCCTTTTCCATAGCTCAGTTGCAGAATTACCGCTTGACTGTTATAGTTATGTAAATAGAGTGTTTCTAATCTGCTTTATTGTGATGAATCCTGAAAGTTATAGGGATAGTGATTAGGTTGAGACGATCAAAGACTCAAGATATAAGATCTGGTTTCAACTTATGTATTAAACTACTAAAATTGTGTTTTATAACTATCTCCAATCATATATGAGCATTTTAAGTGTAATTAAAAAATGTTTACACTTTCATAAAGTAACCACTTTTTAACAAATCCAACAAAAACTGGTAAATTTCTATATTAGAAATGCAACTAGTTAAGAACACTATTATGTAGCCTAAAGATAAGATTAGCGTATATGATTGTTAATGAGTGTAGTCTAGTGATTTTAGATTATTATAGCTGTGCTATTTATACATAATTTACCTTTGTATTAATCAATTTACTAAGAGATATTAAGTATAGTGACAGTATAATATTTTTACTCTGTCTGTTTTACACACTTTTATATATTTTGTAGAATGTTTCCGTAAGTAAATCTTAGTTTAATTGTTGAAAAAATCAACTTTTTGTTCATGTACATTTAAAAGCTTTATAAATGTAAGTATTTCTAATTTCTTGAATAAAATAAAGTTTTGTTTTGTAAATTGTGTAATATAATATTGCAATCCTAAAATTATTCATTCATAAGTATAGGCTAAAATTGTACAGTTTGATCTATGGTAACTGGTTTGGTTTAGGTTTTATTTCTGATATAAATAGATGCTGCATTGCTTCGCTCCAGGGTTAATTACTTCTGTACGTCTTACCTTAATTAATATTAATGTAGAATCCCAATTATTAATAGACCTATCGAACTGTGGCATGGTCGGGTAAGCTTAAAGATCGTATAACTTAAGACATTTTTTTATTAGAAAAAGAAACCATTGTAAACATGTGGATATGGTCATTAAATTTATGTAGTTTCTCCAATCACAAAAATTTCAAAGCATTAAGTGTGTATATTATTGAAACTGCTACATTTAAGCGAATTCCCCACAAACTAAATAGTGACCTAGGGTATTAGCATAGACAAAAAAGAATTAAATATAGGCCGTCAGCTGTGCTGCGGTTGCCATAGGTACTGGCGCACACCGCTTGGAGCGCCATGTAGTTACGGCGTACGCGCTACGTAAACTACAGCGGTGTGCGCCGGAACCTATGGTAACCGCAGCACGGCTGACAGTCTATATTTAATTCTTTTTTTCAATGGTATTAGCCAATTTTCCATATAAGTAATTAGCTATTTCTTAGATTTAAAATATATAAAAAGCAATGTTTGTAGGTCTTATGGCAAGACCTAGGCCCGTGACCAATTTAATTTTTTGTTTTATGTCTCCAGAGTTAAAACACCATACGGTCAAATTCATACATACATACATACATACATACATACAAGTATATATATTTCCAGCCAATCTATTTAACATATTTTTATGATTGAGGTGTAATTTTAAAGTTCATAACTTAACGGAGAAACATATGGTAACCAAAAAGAAAAAATGTAATTTCTTTAGGGGCTTCATCTCCCTTGCATCTGATTTATTTCTAGAGTTCGCTTTCAAAGATTCGGTGATGCTGACCAACTTCCTTTATAAAGGTTTAATTAAATGGAAATTTTAATTTAACAGGTGATCATTCTGTGTTGATTTCAATCATGTTTCAATTATCCAAAAAAAATATTTTTCCTACAGTTACCTAACAATAATGTACATGTTTCCTCTCACTGATTTGAGAAAGCAAAGTGGCCAATTCGCTCATCAGTGAGACAATGTTAACATTGTCTCACTCTAATTACTTTGTCTCACTCACTCCAGATTTGCAACGTGAAGGCACGAAATAGTGAGCGCGTAACATGCAGACAAGGTCGTATGCGCGCAAAATATGTTGGCAGCACTGGCTGTAAATCAGCTGATCAGCTGTTGTACTGTTGTATCATTAAATGTCATATTACAAGTTCACTCCTGTGTAAAAATATGTCACGTTTTTTTACCAATTTATTTGTTTTATGGTAACTGTAGGAAAAATATAATGTGCAACTCGAGTGCAAAGTACAATTGCCTCACTCGAGAAACCATTCCTCACTCACCTACGGCTCGCGAGTAAGTATTTCTCTCGAGTGAGTCAATTATTGCTCCCTTTGCTGACTAGTTGCACAAATAACTCATTTTGACTCTTACTTACATTCTGACATTGGTTAAACATTCAACTGAAGGATCAGCTGTTAAATTACAATTCACATTTTAAAGAAAGTTGGTCAGCATCACTGGATCTACAAAATAATTCGTCACTTCGCTGAATAATAAGCTTAAAAATGACACATCAGTCGTAAAACTCGGTAGTATGATGGCTGAAAAAGGGATGCTACAGATAAAACCCTTTGTATTGATCAGTATATGAGTGATAATGGGAATGTGGTTAAAACGCAGGTTTGCTGTGGAGGTTTTTTTTTTTTTTTTTTTTTTTTTTTTTTAAGCCATAATCATAAATAACATACAATCCCTATACAAAATACCCAACAAAGTAAATACAACACTGATATAACAGTAAAATTAAAGCTGAAGCAATACACAATCTCAGCCACAATATCTATTCGTACTGCATCTAAAACGTCAGGGGTAGCAGAGTGGTACAGGTAGAAGTTTACAAACTGTGTAGTATCATAGACAAACAGAATAAATATAGACCGTCAGCTGTGTTGCGGTTAGCATAAGTTCTGGCGTCCACCGCTAGGTTTGCCGTGTAGTTACGGCGCACACCGCTGCAGCGTCTGCTGGTCAAATACGGCTCCTGCACTCCTGCAGCGGTGTGCGCCGTAACTACACGGTACTCCTAGCGGTGGGCGCCGGAACCTTCCTTTGACAGTCTATATTTGTTCTATTTGTCTATGGTAGTATACAGCTTAAGTTTATTGTTGATATTCCTATTTTGAATTACACTCTTAAGCAAAGTTTCAAACTCATTGACATGCATAGAACTTAGGAAGACAAACTTGGTCATTCTAATAAATAAGGCTTTAATTTAAAAAGGATAAACAAGAACTAGAAAGTTTAAAATTCAGGAATCTATTGTTTAACCTACACTTGTTAATAGGAATGTTTTTTTTATTACTTAATGTTGATAAAGCCAAAGTTATTAAGTAATTATAAAATATTAAAGATGTCAATTTACTTACATCACCACAGTATGTTTTGAAACAGTTTGACTCAATATTAAAACTAAAAGTGAACTTATTTTCTTTCTACTCACTGGGTCCACTCCATACATAATCATGTAATTATTTAGTGTCACGTTATCACGATTTGCAATTTTAAAATGCCAACTTGAAACTAAAAGGTGATAAAGAATTCTTCTTACACATCTCGACATTACAACTTGTAAAAACAGGAGCCATTGGGGGTTGAATTTGGGTCACAAAACACATCTTGAAGTTTTTGACTTTTTAAACAGTACAGTGACACACTCCATAAAGTGACCACCAACAAAGCTGCACTTTCAAAAAAGTTCAACACCAGCAAGTTATACACTTCAGATAACATGCTCATTTTAGAAGTTATTTTATATGTTGGATGGGTACTGGTTACCTAGATTGCATGAAATACGTTTAGCTACACTTTGACTTCACACACTTGGTTGGTTTTAATTGAACCCAATTAAAAAACAGAACTGATGATGGTGATTAAGTTGTGTCAATTTGATTTTTAATGATTTTGGTTTTCACATTGCTGGGATGGTTTAGTAAAAGATTCAATAAAAACGTAAACGTATCATATCATATTAGGTACATGCTAGAATTTTCGTCTATTTCTTGGAATATTATTTATTTTATGGATTGAAATTGACTCCAACAATAATTTGGAGTTCAATTTTATATGTCACTCGTGACTGTTATGGTAATGGTTTGAACATTTTTATTGGTCTCCCAAATAGTTTTAGAATTACTGAAGAGGAAAACAACTAAGACGGTCGAGGTTGGAGCTCTGCTGAAAACTAACTATTTATTATAGTTATAGTTATAGTTAACTAAGTATTTAGAAAAACACAGAGTACATTAACATTTTCTTTGCTTTACTCTGCGTATTGCTATGAAAATAAAAAACAAATAAATGCACTTTTAGCTCATTTACAAAAATCTTTCAAACATTCTAATAATGTAAAAAATGTGTTTCTTGAGTTTCAAAAATCATCTCTTTAAAAGTTTATACACACGTTAAATCTTTATACAATTTTATTGCAACATAGACATATACATCATCATTTATTTGTACGTTTTAAGAATGTTTACCTAACCCAAAAAGTGTAAGTCACTAATTAGGTAAATTACCTTTTTTAAAAACCAGTAAAAAAAATAAAACTGGTATTTAAGGTAAATTTTTTAGTCATTGTAATATTCATAATGCTAGATCATATTGTTACGGAATTGAGTTATATCAAGCAACAATGAATCTGAATGTTATAGATGTGGTGAAGAAAGCTATGCGTGAAACAGAAAATTCACTTCAACGGTTTAGAAAAAGCACAGGAGTATAAATACCCGTGGATAGCATTTTTTGTATGTACCCATTATTATATTTAAATGAGTAAGCAATCCCATTGGAATGGTAAAACAAAATAAAACCAAATCTGAACCATCCAACCAAGAAATAAGAAAAGTAGCACCACTAACAATTTTATTTAATCATCCGACAGTACATCATAAGCAGCTGCTATCTAAACATCTGTTCAAACACAATATGAGAGCATTAGTTTATGGAGCCACAGACACATGATCAGTCACTATATACATCTCTTCAAAATGTTTTTATTGTGTGTACTAGTATTATTTTTAGGTAACGCCGAAAGTATCTGTGATGATGAACAGATTTTACAAGTCAGAACACTTTGGGGATCCGGTGAGCCTACAGGGTTGTTGGACCAACTGGTAGGTACAATGACGTACCTTTACATACCTCCAATGTTAGGCACTACACCAGGGTTGAAGTGCATAAAGACAGTGTTGGATGAAAGCAAGGTAGCGGAAGACTACCACATGTACGAAGAGGACGCCAGAATCATCGGGAAATATCGGATGAAGGAGACCGAGTATAATATAACAAGGTCGTTTGTTATTGATGGTGACAGTGACTCGTCTGACGATTTCGTTCTTCCGGTTTATTTTAACAACGGTGTGTTTGGTTTCTGGCAGTGCCGTCACGATTATGATCCATTTATCAACATCGGAGTTCTGCATTACACAATGAGGAAGGAAGAGGAAGAGGTAAAGAGAGCTATTCAAGAAGCAGAAAGTTGGCTTGAGCAGTTGAGAATGGACTTTCCACCGAGAATAAGCGGAGAGTGTTAGCAGCAAGGTTCAACTCATTGACAGGTGTTTTGGCAGGTTTGGCAAGTCCCATTATCATTCATCTGAGAATCTGACTTGAATAGCAAAATAAATGTTATTATCTTGAGTTACTGACAATAGTACAAGTGAACTAACTTGTAACACATAGGAATTGTAATTTAAAATACAGATGCTTGTTTTCTATCAATAAACAAAACAAAAAATGTAATTTAAATTTGTTAAGGAAATTCAAAAATATGTGACCCTGTCTTCTTCAATAACCTCTTTTATTATTCTTAAAAGTTTTACATAATCTTTTGTGAGGAAGGGATTAAAACCCCTGACAGTTGAAATAAACTGGAAATTATTCTTCTAATTTTGAGCTTAAGAAAGTGTTTGTTGCTAAGATTAGAGGTTAGCGTCTCAAACTTATATGCCAGAGATTTTTAGGTTTGCATCGCTTGTGGATGTGTGATTCACATATGTGAAAATAAAATAACACACCTTTTATGATAACCATTTCACATATTTTTCTGCGATCCATACACAGGATGAAGCTCGTTGGTCCTGCAGTAATGAGATAAATATTTCTCCCACTAAACCAACCCCAAAGAATAACTTTAATACCCCTGCCACAGCAAACCTAATACCTGTCTAAGCATGTTTGTCTGATTGGATTTTTACTAAAATCTAACCATAAAGAAGTCATATTTATTCCCTTTATAACAAAATTATTTTTAACCTCCCATGTTATTCTTATGGAGAAAAAGAAAACTCTTGTAGTTTGATTTTTATGGATAGGTTTTGATTGAATTTTGCAAATTTCTTTATTTCATACTAAGCTACAAACATTTCAATTAAAAAACATACCTTATTAATAAATTATTATTAAGTACTCATGCAAATTAATGTTATTTATATAGGAAACAAATGGGACAATTTTAAAGAAATATTTCAGTGGAAATCCAACCAGACAAATGGAAATTCGCGTAGTCTGCAGGTTTGCTGCGGCGGGGGTATTTTAAGAACTGCTCCATCACCAGATACAGCCATCACAGTAATCAAATCATAGGTAAGCCAAATTGAGAGCCAATAACTTTCAAACTGTTTATTATTTAATCAGCCTAACAATATACAAATCAGTGGGTGGCCAGGTGACAGTATTGCTGTGGAAGAACCAAATGTACGATAAACTAGTCGACTATTTACAGTGGTCCCTCTACTCTACGCTGGTAGGGCATACACAAACATTTGGTGTTACTAACAATATCAAGCTACAAGGTGCTTAAGTAAACGAGCTACAGTCATGGGCACACTGGGGTCAACTACACTTTTTTAAGTATATAAACAAAAACTGGACAGATAAACCCTAACATAACTAACTGTAAAAAGCAAGTTCCCCATGTAGCAAAACAAAGTTTATGAAAAAAATTAATAACTCTGGTATACTTATAGTAGGATACGACACATTGGAAAATACATACTAATACATTTATTTACATACTTCAAGTTTTTCAAACTATTAAAAACCGTGTTTTGTTGAAATATTTTTAAAAATTTCATAAAAAAAGAGTAAAACAAAAATTAAAATGAATACACAAACTAATTTAGGTAAAAGAAAATATGACAAAACAGTAAAATATCAACAAATTGTATAGAAGTTCAGATTTTGTTTACAATTTTGTACAGCTGAGTTTACAGACATTTACGGTATAATTAAGGCAGTATCGCCTGATTCAAGTTTTCAGCATAGATCACAATATTTAGGGGGTTTGAGGGGAACTCCCACACTACTTTTTAGCGAATTTTCCATATAGGGAATAAGCTATTACTTTAGTATTCATGGTAAGACCTGGACCCGGGACCGATTTACTTTTTCGTTTTGAAGTCCCTAGAGGCCAAAAACACTGTTCAAATTCATGTATGTATATATATGTGTGTGTCCGTTAGCACGATAACTCAAGCAAAAATGATCTGATTTTGATTAAATTTGGTATAAACGAGTTCGCGAATCAGCATGATCGGATATTATGGCAACGGGGGTTTATGGGACAAAAATTGGGTTTTCCCCTTTTTGACCCTAAAAACATAAGATTTCGCAATTTATTTCCAAACTATTTTGTAGAGCTTAAAAAACCAAACAATTCAATTTGCTGAAGCGTTATTATGTGCCTAATAGTTACAGAAAAATTTGTAAATTAAAAATTCCCATGTTATTCTTATGGAGAATAAGTAAACGGTTGTAATTTGCTTATTTATGAATATATTTTGATCAATTTTAGAAAATGTATTTATTGCATACTAAACTATTAACATTTTACACAAAAAATCACTTTTTTACCCTCCCTGTTGCAGCAAACCTAAGTACACGTTAAAACCATGCTATCTAAATAGGGAATAAATTTGATTTTTTTAAGGAGATATTTTTGAGTAAATCCGATCAGTCAAATGTAAATTAGCTTAGTCTGCAGGTTTGCTGCGGCGGGGGTATTTTGTATTTAATGTATATTGCTTAGTTACATATAAATCAGTAATCAGCCATTGAGCTATTATTTTAAAGGTAAGGGTCAAGTGGAGGGGATAGATTTCTTACCCTAAAACCGTCTAAACATTGTGAACGATGTATAACAGACTGCGCATCCAAGTAACTTAATGGATTATGTAGATTCGCCTGTTCAAACAATTAATGTCCGACTATATGGTTAGCATGTTTAATTTGTATTAATAATAGTGTTTAAGATGTTACTCTTAATACTGTACTAGGCCTGGTGGAATAAATCCACCGGGATCAGTTTATCTCATTGATGAATTTTACGAGAAGTTGTTTTCACTGAGAATGCCCAAATAACTTGAGTAACTAAAACCTAACTTTTCCACTGATTAACTAACCTAACCAATCTTCTTGGTACAAATACTATTATCCACCATATTTGCAATGTATGAAAACAACAGCCTAAATATTAAGGGTGCTCAACCTCATTTTTTATCTGGGTTAATTAAATTTTTGGATGAACTTTAGACAAGTGAAAAGAATGGAAAATTGTGGTTTAAATAATTTATTATTCATATCTCAATATATTGAAATGCATGCAGAATAAAAATTATTACAAAACATTATTCGATTTATACTGGTCTAATGAATTTCTAAATTAGTTTTGAAAATTGTTTAAAAAAAGATAACATAGTTACATAAATTCTTTCGCTGAATACCTTTAACAAGGGGAAATGTCTTGTTAGCTCTTATGGGAGTGTAGGTGCTCCTCCAAGACTTATTGATACACGAATAATTTGAGA